GAGAGAGTGGGTTTGACAAAAAGAAATCTAATTAATCTATCTAGGCCTTCAGGGAGCTGGGTGGTAGGCAGAAGGGAAAGAAGGCAAAGGAGAGAGTAAAAGCTGGTGTGGGGGAGGGGCGACGAGAAGAGGGCAAATCTGACCTTCCACAGGTGGAGAGCTGGGGGCTTAACACGCGTCATCTCAATCCTTCAACTCTCCTGTGCAAAGGAGGTGTTGTCAATTATTCCCACCTCACCAATGGAGAAACTGAGGCTGAGGAAGGTTAAATATCTTGCTCAGTTGGTTGAAATTCAGCTTTTGTGACTCTAAAGCCTGTGACAGGATCTCCCACAGGATGCTGCCTCCTGTGCAGAGGGCGGGGAGAGGGAAGAGAAAGCACTGAGAGAAGAGGGTCCAGCTGTAGCTGACAGATGCTGACATTGGGACCTGCTGGACCTGCAGAGGGCACTTGACAGCCAGGCTCCAGCCAGCCCCATATTTCAGCTTGTGCCCCTGCTCAGACTGCTCACATAGCACCAGGCCCCCGAGCCGCCAGGCCCACTGACCTCAGATCCCTCTCTAGGCTATGCTCTCACCCTGGGCTCGCTCTCTCCCCGCCCCTCCAGTCCTGGCTTCCATGCTCCTGTAGCTGCCAAAGGAGCTGGCACTCCCAAGCCTGGTGAGCTTCCCCACAGAAAGGGAAGAACAGCCAAGACTTGGGCAGTCTCTGGGTAGTACATAGTTTATTAATTCGTTGTGTTGCTATCAGCACAGTAATCCTAGCTGGTGTGTGCTGACCACGCAGCACGGTCTTCATAACCCTCACGGCATCCTCATGTACTAGCTAGATAGTACTGTTATTCTCATCTTATAAATGAAGAAATGGACGCTTAGTAAGACCAATTAAACTGCAAAATGAAAAGGAGCTCAGCTTCATCAGCACTCAGGAAAATGCAAATTAAAACTCCAATAAGATACCTTTTTCAAGAATCAGATTGGCAAAATTAATAAATTGGACAATATCTAATGTTGGTGAGAATGTGGAGCAATGGAAACTCCTACATTCTGTTATTAAGGGCATAACATCACTTTGGAGAGCTATTTGCTCATATCTAAGTGTGGGGAGAATACGCACACCGTAGGACCCATCAGTCCAACTCCTCTATACTGAAGGCATCTCCCCTAGAGAAACCCTCACAGCGTACACGAGGAGAAATGCTTACAGCAGCGTTGGTTGTGACGGCAAGATGATGGAAACAACCTAAATGTGTATCAACAGGAAAATGGGTAAGTAGATTATGGCATGGTTATAGAATGGAATACTATGTAGCCATAAAATGGATAATTGGAGCTAGACCTACCAACACAAATAACTCCCAAACATGTTGACCGCAAAAAAGCAGGAAGCAAAACAAGACATACTAAAAAAGCCCAACACATACTATATAATGGTTTTATAAGATTTGACCACATACAGAACAATGCTTAGAGATATGTACATACACAGCAAACGTATAAAAGATGTGCGTGGGAATAAAATACCAGATCTAGGACACTGGTTATCTTGGGGGAGGAAGAGGAAATGAACAGGGAGAAGAGCACAGGGCATTTCAACTGTGCTGGTGAAGTTTTATTTCTTGAATAGGATGATAGGTACATAGGTGTGATTCTGTTAATTTTTTGGCTTTTTGTATGTTTTGATAAACTCATTTTAACTAAAACAATTGCTCAAGGCCTCACAGCTAGTAAAGAGGAGTTTAGAGCCCACACTTTTTTGCTTCCCAGTGCATCATGCTGCCCATGGGAGGAAGCAGGCAAATGAGGGTAAATATCGAGAAGGAATGCTGCTCATTCCATCTATGCTTTGTACAGACCTTGAGAAGACAATTGTTTAGTGACAAAGGGACCTTACTTTGTATACCAGAGGCAATCCTGAAAACATGCTATTAAATATTAGTAGCTTGAATCATGTTTTCCCATTATCTTATGTTATTTAGAACTATGTTTCTACACAAATATTTGTGACAATGCGGAATAAAAGCAACAAAGGGGTCCCCACATTCATTTCAAATGACCTTGTCGATGCAGAAACCTATAGCTATTTCATTCTCCCAAACAGATCTATCAAATAGATAATGAATCTGTGCTCTTCATTTAAAGCACTCTTACACTAAAATACTCTACAAAGTTTGTCCCTATTTTGTTGAGAGTTCTCACTAACGTCATCTGTAATCATCTAGGAACTTAGCAGGGACTCCTTCGCTTCCTCCTTTATTTAAAAATTAATAAACATCCATTGAATGCCCATCAATTGCAGGCCACTCTGGTAGATGCCGGGGAAATGATGGGGAACCAGACAGGCCCTGCCCTGAATGAGCTTTCAGTTCCTGGAGGAGGCAGAGAAGTGAGGCAAGTAATCATGATACAATGAGATGTGGTGCTGTGATGGGCACATGCTGGGTCCCACCAGGGAGGAGCGTAAGAGAGGGACCTAACCTTGTCAGGTCGAATCTGGGGGAGCCTCTGAGAGGGGTGATATTTAAGCTGAACACTAAAGGATGAGTGGGAATTGGCTTGTGGATAAGAAGGCTATTTAATTATTTCTTTTCAGAGGATTTAGTCACCTTATTGTGGAGTTTCTATTGTCAACCAAAGTGGAGGAGAAAAATAATAATATGTTTTAAGGTATCTTTTACTTGAGAAAAAAGAGCTGTGATCCTTCTTCAGATGTAGTTCACTGTCCTTTTTTCTGTGTTCAAAACAAATCACAACTGAGTAAACTAGATTCCTACCACCCTTTGTCAAAGGTGCGAATTCACCTCTGATCTAAGTGAGTAAGCTGGGGGCAGGTGTACCTGCGATGAGAGCATAATTGCCCTGATTTTACTCCACGGTTTTAAATCCCTGTTGTTGTAGGAGAAGAAATACAAGCTCAGTTTCTCTGCACAGTCCAGACCAGGAAGCGGAGTGGAGGGAAGGTACCACTGCAGTATCTTGCACCATGCTGATTCCATTTCATTCCCTCAGACTCTGAGTTCATCAGTGTGATTGAATAATTTGCCCCGGAGTTACTCTAAGGTTGAGTATCCAGTTTGATTACATGGGGTTTGCTGAGGGACCTGATTTCCAGGAGTTGCTAAAACAGATGTTGCACAGGAAATTATGCTTTTGAATCAAAACCAACCTCCCAGAGTCCCAATCTTACTAGCTGGAAGAAGACACACATAACTCAGATAACAGGATATAAAATGAAATCTAAATATTTATTAATCATATGAAGATCTAAATGTTTATGAATTATAATGGAATGTAAAATCACAGAGTTAGCTATTTTTAAACACACGCAGCCATTAAAAAAACTTTAAACAAGGAAGTGATTTTTAAAAACTCAAAGTAAGAAATCTAGTACAAGCCCAGATGACTTTTTAAAGTATCATCAATGAATTTTCACACAGCCCTTCCATCACAATAATATTCATTTATATCTTCAATCTTACACAGCAACAAAGTCATAGTGAGAAAGACAGCAATTGCTTCTGAAAGGAAATCAAAGAGGCCTAGAGCGATTATTCTTTCAAAAGGATCTTGGGGAGTTGAAATAAGGCCTGCTTCTCCACGGGCTGATGACATTTAACTGTGATGGGAACAGCAGCATCCTTTTCTCTGATTTTTACCTTTGAACACAATAAAAGGAACTTAGCGTTAACGTTCTCCCTCACAAAGAGATGCAGAACTCAAGTCTAACCTCCAAGAAATGCTATAATCAAAGTAAACACTAATCCTGCTCCTACAAACGCTGTTAATAGCATGTTATAGCATTCAATAGATTTCTTCCTCTTGCTAATCTTCCTCTGAATTTTTAATACGATCTTCCTGGATTGGAAGAATAATGCCAATAGTCAGGAAATAACAAAAAACCTGAAACTTTTGGCTCTATAGCATTGATAAAGACTCACAACATTCAACAATGAAAGAGAGCACAGCACTGAGTACACGGGGCCTCATTATTCAAGTCACGGGGTTTATGCGGGGAAGCACAGGTTATCATAATGTGAAAATGTGCAGTGCCTAACTGGGTATAAAACTAGTCCTCTGACAAACAGTGTCCCTAATGAACACAAACACCTATCCCCATCCATCATGTCAACCTCTTGTGCGAGTCTTTTGTAGATGCTATGTGTTGAAACATCTGGAAACGTATCACAAATTTTAAAAAATTTAGAGTCTAGTGAAATTGCAAAACTGGCAAAACGTAGATTTAATGAAGTCATGGAAGTGATGTCAGAGAGATGCTCAAGTCATAGCAAAGCCACTGTCAAGTAGGCATCTGGACCAGAAGACAACTGAAAAAAAGAAAATTGACAAGAATGATACTAATAGGTGCTTCAAAAAAGAAAGATCTGAATGTCAAAAGACTAAGAGAAAACTGATGAAGCACTCAAATATTTTTGAAAAATGATCATATCTATAACATTATTCCAAAAACTAAGTGTGGAATAAAGTACATCAAATACTATCAAATAATGTTCCTGAAAAATTATACCCCCAAAAGCAACATTTGATTCATTTTTCATTCATTCTAAGTTCTAGAACATAGTTGCATTTACAATACCAAGACTTGTTTTCCCAGATAAAGTCCTAATCAAACAATTTATGTATTTTGACCATGAAACTATACTCTCTGTTTTAAGTGGTGCCAACTTTCCTCGATCACAGGTCCCTCTGTATGTTACCAGCCTACTCGCCTCTTGCTCAGATTTGATTCTTCAAGGCTCTGCTGTTTCCTGACATCTCAGAGAATAAATCTGTAGCTAGCCCAAAGCCTGCCTCCATCTGGAGGCTCATCTAAGTGTTCTGCATCAGAAGGTTTTTTATCAGTCTTCCCTTGGCTAAACTGTTCTTGAGTCTTATGTCACTTTGACCTTGAGCTTGGATTCTTCAAACGCTTTTGAAGAGAGAGATGCTAATTTCATATGTTGTCATGCAGGAATACTTTCATTGCCCACCGTCTCTTACCAACAGCACCCAGCTCAGGAGTGAGCCTATTTCGTGGTCTCTGCTGTGGAGTCTTCTTTTGTCCCTCTGGATTTCAGTGTGACGACTTCTCCTTTATAGGGCTCCCGCTCCACGGGGGTAGGTGTGCAAGTCTGAAACAGAACATTTCATTTCTCTCTTGTGGTTTATTGACTTCTTGAATTCAAAGCTAAGTGCAGCTCCCTTAATGAACTGTGCGAGCAAAAAAGAATCTTGTGGATTTATCATGTTCCTCCCACCCCCGTGCCCTTTCACAGCAATTCCTGGCAACCTTGGGTACCTGCGTTGCCCCGCTCTTTGCTGGTGTTAATCTGTGTCAGACAGAGGCCCAGGGAACGTCTTCCAATGATCATTCTCTCCACTGCAACTTAAATTGGGGCCTCTGCCATATCCTCCCACTCTTCTGAGTTCTATTACCATCTTACAGTCCTTTCAAACATTCTACCTTTCTTCTAGTTTCAATCCTAGATGTGTGGATCCCTAGACTGCTTTGTAGTACCTCTCCTGAGACTCAGCATTTTGGTTCAGATTCCGGCAATTTGTGTGTGCTTTTTCTCATTTTCTATTGCCTCTGTGTAACAGGCTTCCACAGAATCTCACATCTCTAACTACACCTCTTTGGTGGCCAACTGTGCAGCAGATCTCTGGGCTGGATTCAGCTAGAGTTACTTCAGTGCTTGAGCAGAGATTCAAAATCTAGTCTTTGTAAACTAAGGAAGTCACAAGAAGTAACTGAATCATACTGTCTGTAAACGTGGACACAAATTCACTGACAAGTCAAGAGGCAGCAAACCACAGTGATCACATTGCCTGGGCATGTTACTCAGCAGTGTGCTTCCGTTCCCTCGGCCGTCAACTGGGGATAATGGCAGCACCTACTTCATAGGGTGTGCTTCATAGGGTGTGAGGATTACATGTTGAGAGGATTAAATATAAGTAAAACATGTAGAATAATGCCTAGCATATAACAAACTCTTAACAAATAAATAAATATGTGTGTCTACACATACACACACAAATAATAACATTTATCTTATTTTGACCACCAAAACTAATATATTGTAGTGATCAACAATGTGTGCTTTGGAGTAAGACAGATCTAAGCGTGAATTCTAGCTCTGCCATTTGCTAGTTGTAGGAAACTGGCAAGTTAATAAATCCCTCTGCGCCTACTCACTCACCTATGAAATGGAGGGAATAAAACCCCTCTCCCAGGCACATGAGATCTCCCAAACACAAAGCATTTCCTTCTTTCATTCAGTAGATATTTATTGAGCACACACAGCCCCAGATGTTTTGCCAGGCACGAGGATAAAGTAAAGAACAAGACAGAGCATCCCTACAGCTGTGGAGCTTGAAGCATGGTGTTAGGCGCACAGCAAGCACTCAGTCAACGGCAGGACCCTGCCCTCCGCTCACCAGTCTAGCCTCTGTCCTCTTTCTGTGTCTGGTTAGATGCTTTGCTGGACTTCCATTTTGGCTCACTATTGACTCAGGCCTTTTCTTCACCCTAGATCCCATCATCACCTTGAGGAACATCGACACCAGGAAATGGAGTACCAGCCTCCCATTGCTGCCACCCAGCCCTGGACATTGTGGTCACCTGGAGCCAATCGACATCTGGAAATTTAAACTCAATACCCCACTCTCTGACCACATCCTCCCTTTCAGGTCTTCGGTCTCCGGGTTTTTTCCTCTCCTGGTTTACTTTCCAAGCCAGGCTGAATGATATATCACTTAAACCTAGGGCGACCGTATAATTTATCATCCAAACTGGAACACTTCTGAGAATGTAAAGGGCACTAAACACAATTAACAGGCATAATCCAGGACTGGCCAAGCAAACCAGGATTTATTTCCACCTCCCCTCAACCACTCTCTTGCCTGCAATCTAAAGGGTCTTGCCTTTCTCTCTTTTCCTTTCGGCATTTGCACTCAGCAAAACCTGTGGCATATTTCAGTTCAATCATCAGCCTTTTCCACAGCCAAGAGCCCCCGGAGAAATGACATAAGTGGGCAGATCTTTGTGTCACCTGCCTTGTGCTGTGTGTCCCTCATCAGCTCCCACTCCATCTCGCTTTTTCCTCAACAGTTCCTTCGAAACTTCAGTGCTTGTGGTTTTTAGCTGCTACTTTTTTGTCTCTCCTGGACTCCTCCTTGGGCACTGATGGCCAACATCAATGATTTAGGCGGGACCATCAAGGCCAAGCCCCTTCCTCCTCACTCAGGGCTGGGCTTGCCCCACAAGCTGGATGGTCCCTCGGAGGGTCCTTCCCTGAACCCAGCTGCAGGCTCAGGGACTGCAGTACATGACTCAAACCAGGCGAATCAGTCTCCTTCCCACATCTTTCTGCCAGGGCCACGCCTTTGCATGCTGGCATGCCCCTCTCCTTTTTGCCTAAATAGCTCTGATTTATCCTTTATAACTCAGCCCAGGCAATCATCAGTCCAGGAAGCCTTAGCCCTCCCTGCCACATCCACTACCTCGCTTACCACATTTTCTGTAATTATCTGTTCACCTGTCTTTCCTCCAGCAGACTTGGGGCTGGTTCACTGCTGTTTCTCCATAACAAGTACTCAATAAATAGTTGATCAATTTCTACCAAGAGTGGAAGGGTGTAGGGGGAGGAGATGCCCATCTGAGCTTTCTTTCCTCTTTGTGTAGGTTGTCCTGGCCTGGGCTGCCTGTTTCCCTCACACTCCCTTGTTGTGCTTCACCATTTGTCTGTTCTCCAGGCTGCACTTTCTCTCTGGCTGGCTGCCTTCTGTGGCACGTCTCAACTCACCTGGTTGTCTAAGAACCCCTTCTACCTGTTCAGTCACTGCACTAGCAATGCCACAAGGCACCTCTTAACCTGGCTGGTCACACTGGTCACACTGACCACCATCAATCTCTGACCTGACCAGCCAGGTCTCATCTGCACACAGTCTCCCTCTTGATCTCCTCTGAGGCTCTGGGTGGGCAGGGACAGGTTTCTGCCAGAATGGCCATCGGATATTAACCACTCCTGCCCACCCTGCCACCTAGGAAACAAACAGCCCTCACTGGGGAGGCTTTGCTGTCCTACACTCTACAATCTTCCCCACTGATAGACAGGTTGACAGGAATCAAAGACAATTTAAGCTCCAATCTCAAGTCTCCCAGTACTTTTAACCTTTTAATATTTTCTAGTGTCCTGAGAACACACCTTCAGAAGGCTGATCTGTGTTGAGGCAACAGTGGCTGCAACACCCACACAAAGCTGGTCAGAATTAGAGGATCACAGCCCCCAGTAGTTCTTTCCATCTGGATGGTATTACTGTCAATAGAATGGCTGGAGGGTAAAGTGTGTGAGAGGCTCTCCTAAGTAATACAGAAAGCATAGATGGCACGGTGGCCAGCAGGGTGCTGGTGGTTTACTTTGGTAGATGAGAGTTCAATGTCAGTTCACAGTATTTAATGATGATTGTCATTGTGATGAGTTAATAGAAAGACAAAAATGAGAATTATATCACAATATGCAGTGCTATGAATAAATATTAATTGTAATCATCATTACATACGCATAATTGTAGAAATGCTTTTTGGTTAGCTGATCAGGAGAAAGAGGAAAATTTAACCGTATGCGTGCAGAGAGTGGAGTGCTGGGATGCTAGATGTTCTGAGACTAGCAAAACCAATAGAGAATTCTGGACCTCACAGGACTTACTGAAACCACACAGCTCACAGAGGCTAAAAAACTAAAATAGCAATAAAGACAACAGAACTTCCAAATACCAAACAGCAGACACTGGCCCAACACCAAACAGTCCTGACCAGTGACTCCCCAGAATGAAATCCATGCCTGGCTAGTGAACTGAGAATGTATACAGAGCACTCGGTACTCACTGAGCTAAGCTCTCCAGGCGACTAGAACGTGAGTAAACCCTAGGTTTAATACAGAGGATCTATAACAGTGAAAACTTGCATTTTGATAATGTTTTACAATCTACCAAGTATTTCCATTTGATCCTTGAAATACTCTGTGAGCTATTTCTCAAAGACAATGTGACAAAGCTGAGCCCTCTCATTTCAGGGCTGACTCCTCTGGGCTTGCCAGTCTAAGGGTAACTGAACCCTATGCGCAGCAGGGAAGACTGGAGGGGTTGATACCCTGAGGCTGGGGCAGGTGGCTGTGTGCTTGAGTAGGGATTAAACTATGATTAGCATGCCGCAGCGGTAGAGGTTAAAGGAACTGGCTTTGGAGGTAGAAAAATCTGGATTTGAGTTTTGATGCTGCCACTCACTAACTATGTGACCTCTCCAAGCCTCAATTTCTTAATCTATGAAATAGGGATGCTACTATTTACCCCAAGGTGTTTAAACTATGCCTGGTACGTAATTGGTCATCAATAAATATTTACTGAATGAATGTTGAACGGTTAGCTAAAACAGGAAAAAAGTAATTAGTATAATGTGTAAATGTTGACAACCAAGCTCTACTTCCCTTTTTCTTACCACCCCTAAAGCCCTGATTTTTAGCACTTGTCTATTTCTGTGGTGTAAATACTCCATGGCTGATTTTGAGCTACTAAAGTGACATCACTGAATGAGGAGTTGGGAAGAGATACACACAAGTGTTTCTCATGAGCCAAAATGAGCTGACTCCAACATATGTATCACCTTTTATAATTATTAGCAATCAATCTGAGAAAGTTATAGCAGTTGATGACATGTCTGAAATTATTTTCTCTGAGCTACCGCATTGAGAAAGACATTGACAAACTATTATTTCACAAATAGAGAACACCCATTTCAAGGACTAGATCAGCCATCCACTCAATTTTTTCTTATCTAAAAGGCAAATTATGCTTATAATTGCAAAGGTACAATGCAGTTTAAAAGCTTTGGCGCAGTCTTCTGAAACCATGCATTACTCCATGAAGCTTTTCCTGTTCTTCTATAAAATGCAATGTGACCCTTATTTTCCAGAATAGATTGGGTTGCTTATTATTGAAAAAAGAGAAAAAGAGATGACTTAAAGAAAGTCTGTACTTGCAAATTGTGGTGAAAATTATAACACTCTTAACACAAAAATTCTAAAAATAGTAACCCATTTGAGTGTAAAAAGCTATATTTTTTGGTAAAGAATTAACAGTACGTAAGTTGATTTTCTTCTTTCAAGATGCTCTTGAACATCTAAATTGTTGTTACTCTTTTTTCTTCCCCCTTTATTTCTCCTTCCTGCATCCCCCAAACCTTTTCCTTAAGACACTTTTATATATAATTGAAATATCTATTTTATTATTTTATATTTAGCAAATAAAGTTTGATGTCTCATTTTCTTAATTTTTTTTCCCCTTAAGGATCAGTTGCTTATGTGTTAAAATACATAAAGTAGCAATTCCCCAAAGCTGTCAAATTGGATAAAAATGTCATTTCTTTCCTTTGAAATTGCTCACAATATCTGATAATAGTGACAGCTACATAGCATGATGCTGATAAGTTTTATTCATCATGGACGAGAATCAAGCTCACAGATAACCCCACTATTTGGGATGAGTAGGGGGCAATCTTCTGAGTAACTTCATATAAATTTCTTTCTATGACCTAGGAAACTATAGTCTTTGCTCCTTCCATTTGCAGTTAGTTTAGTTATCAAATGCCTACTATGTACCAAGCACTGGGCATAAAAATATAGGTTGCTGCTTCAAGGAACCAACACTCTAGCCAGGAGACCAGCCGAGTTCTGGAGCTGGCAGACGCTGATGTGTCTCTACAATCTGTGCTTTGGGAGTCCAGAATGGTCAGTGATTAATTTTCTTGGGAAGGATAACAGGTGAGCAGGAGAAATGGTATGGGCCATTCCTGCTTGCCTTCAAACTCTTATCACAAAGAAATCTGAGTATTTTAAATGAAATCCAAAGCAACTGCTCTAATAACTTCATGTGAAATTGAAATCTAGAATTCCTAACAACTCTTTTTCTTAATCTTAGTATGATATTTTTCTTCTATAAAATTATCTTTGCCTAATGGAGAGAAAAAAATGTTTGAAATATCTTGAGACAACCCCCAAACCTCATTTTAGACTCTGGTAATTATACTCTGGGTCGTGAACACGATGTAGTCTACACAGAAATCGAAATATAATGATGTACACCTGAAATTTATATAATGTTATAAGCCAAATTTACATAATGTTATATACCTCAATAAAAATAAGTAATTAAAATAAAGGCCTGAAATACAGTATATAAAGAATTGTAGGATTCTGAGAATTTAAAGCATTCTAGAGCACTTGTTTACTTACTCAAAGCTTTAGGAAGTATTAAAAAAATGGATAATGATAATATCTACCATATGGCTTGTTGTGCAGATGAAGTAAAATAATGAATATAAACCACCTAGTACAGTGCCTGGCAGATAGTAAGTGCTCAGAACAACATATCTTAATAATGATAACTATTACTTATTGTTATTGCAAAAACAAGAATGCACTAGAATGCCTAAAAGGTTGATAATATCAGAAGAAAATAATAAGGAACTAAAATAACTCACAAAATTCATAGTGAACTCTTAAAAAAAGAAGTTGACATTAATTTAGCCCACAAAATATACAACAATTTGAAGAGGAGAACTGAAGAAGCCAGTCATTTGGTGATCTTTGCTGCCTCACACATTTTCCCTACAAGAGGAAGACTCAGGCAAAGTCAGTCATTTAAATACAGTCCATCAGGTGTTTCCAGTTAGTGTAGCATCCTTGCTGGTGAGCAACTGGAACTGACTACCAGGAGCAGCCCTGCCTTGGATCCACTTCAAGGGTCACATCATCTATCACCCAGTTCTGTTGATTCCACCTCCTCATCATTTCCTAAGTCTACTCCTTTCTGTTCATCCCTTGGATATTCCATGAACGAACTAGCTGCCTTCAGTGCCTCCAATTCAGAGTAATTTTTTTTGAGAGACTATTATTTCCCAAATCTAGCGTTGAGTAATTTACCTCCCATTAACTCATTTAATCCAATCTTTATGATATACAGTATTGTTTATTGCTTAAGTATATGGTTTTTGGAGTCAGATAATCACAGTTTATGTTTTGGTCCTGCCATATACGAGCTGTGTGACTTGGATAAGTTTCTTAATTTCTTGAAGCTTCAGTTTTCTAATCTTTAAAATGAGGAAAATAATACTTCCATCCCTCACAGGGTTGTTACAGTGTCAGAACCCTTAGCATAATGCCTTGCATTCAGTAAGCAGTCAGTAATTGTTAGTGTTGCTGTTATCTACCCCATAAATGTTTAGAAACACATACGATTCTTACAGTCACTACTTACCTGTCACCTGTCAGTGTCAACACTTACAAAGTAACCCTCAGCAAAATAAACTGTAACCTTAAACATTCTGAGTGAAGTATATATATATATATATATATATAAAGAATTCTAGCATCCTGAGAATTTAAAGCATTCTAGAGCAATTGTTTACTTAATCAAAGCTTTAGGAAGTGTTAAAAAAAAAAAAAAGGATAAATCTTCTATAATGGACTCTGAGAATCCACAGTAAAAATTTTTTACAAGACATTAGAGGAGAAATCAAACAGACTACCAGACCCAAATGAAATGAATCAAAAAACAGCCAGAGAACTTTAGAAAAAGAGAAGTATATTTTAAAATGGAAAAAAGATAAAGAAGCCTTAGAATCCAAGGGTTGTCAACTCTAATGTCTACACGGCCAGGTAAGGAACATTAATGAGTGAAGCCTGCTGGGTGAAAACCAGAAAGGCAGCCTCCAAAGGGCTTGACCATCCAGCTCGGGCCTCCTCTCCCCATGTGGCATTGAGGGCACAGATTGCCTCCCCCCAGCCCCAAATCCAGCAATTTAGATGGTTTTAATCTGAAGTTTTCCAACATGTTAGTGTATTTAGTGAAGTGAATTTTTAAAACACTGTGTGAAGTAAACAAAGGTGTGAAAGCCCAAAATAAATTAAGAACAAGTATCTCTTTTATAATAACAGAGTTACTTTAAAGACTGGAAGGAACTGTTTATACATTTGGTCATCAAAAGAGGAAAGCAAAGAGGCAGAATTAACATTTATTAACCTTGTGCCTTACATTTAAAAATCTCATTTGATTCTTACAACTTGTTAAGGAGGAAACGTTGTCGTCATTTCCTAGACGAGGCAACTGAGCCCAAGGAAAAGAGAGAAACTTACTCTTGGCCACACAGCTAAGAAATGGGAGGGCAAGGTAGAATTCACATTTAGATCTACCTGACCCCAAAGCACTATCATTGCTCTGGCGGTCATTAGACTGCACCTCCAGACATTCAGCTACAGGGAGCATAATTTTTCAAAGGGCAGTTGCTGAACTTGAACTCCGCCCCTTTGTTTGCACGGAGGCCACGCCTACCACTGCTGCTCCCAGCCAATGACAGCACGCCACGTAGCTGGTTGACAGGAGACTGGGCTCAAGGGCTGTCCCAACGCCTTGCTCAACCTATCTTAGACTGTATGGCAGTGTAGAAGGTTTCCATCCCTTTTTCTCTCCCTCTCTCCTTCACTGGGGTCAGACTTGAATTGCAGTCTGAGGCTCTCCCAGCCTTTCCTGGCTCCCTCCCATTTTCTCTCACAGGTGTTTCCCCTAATAAAAACGTCGCATCTTTATCCATCTGGGTGACTGCTTCTCAGAGGACCCTGACTAACCCAATTGCCAAAAGACCCCAGAGGCCCTGAACTTGCCTGGGAAAACCTGACTTGGTTCATCAGGAAACCCTGAATAGACACCAATCTGCAAGGAATGCATCCATCCAACAATGATTCTCTCTTTGAAAACTGGTATTTGCTGGAACCTCTAGTGTCGATTCTGACATCGCAGGAATGTGTAAACCGAGTCCATGTGGCAAGAACACCAACAGCATCCAGGAGCGGGTGACGGTCCAGCCCGTGGTAACAGCCCGCTCCGGTACGACTCACCTGGTCCTGCTGCTGGATCCGCTTGTAAATAGATTCAGCAAATGGCTTGCGAGGAATAAACTTCCCATCTCCTGCCGTGACATTGAAAACTCCAGCTTCATATACCACTTTGCCTCTGGAAATAGTCACGAGGGGCACCCCGTGGCAAACCATGCCCTCAAAGATGTTGAAGTTAACAGCCTGATGATGCGTTTTTGCGGAAATAGTCCTGTTTGTAAAAACAGAAGCTCCAGATTATCCCCAGCTCATCTGACAAATATAAAATATTAAAAGAATGACTTAGAAGAAAATTTAGCAACTCTATTAAGCCATAGCTTCATCACTGGAATAACTGACTTTCAGAATAGAACATAGCATTAACATTTCATTACAAAGTAATTACATTTTCTGAGAGAAAAACTCAGTAGATCACTCTTTACAGTGATTAATGAGGATGGAGTGGGTGGAAAGAGGGCATTGTCTCCCATGTTCAGATGTTTAAATTATTTTTTATTTATCTGTTTAAAGAACAAAATATTGACTGTAAAACACTTTCAACACAGATGGGTCTGATGAACACACTGACCCAACACCCAGCTCTACAGAATTTTAACTTCTCGCAGCTGCACATGAGGCTTCCTTAGTACTTCTTCCCAAATGCCATCCCTCCCTTTCCCAGAGGGAATCACCATTTGATAGTTATCAAATTGAATTTGATCAATTATCAAGGAAAATTATATCTTGAATGTCTTTCCCTTGTCTGCAGCAAAACCAGATATTTGAAGATAATAAAAATAACAAAGTATATTAGAACATAATCTCTTAGCATATTTTATGTCATGCGTTTGCATATTCATTCTCACTCTCAGTGGTTTATTAATACTTTCAATCTTACACAATATGATTAATGACTTCCAGGCTGGATATTTGGAAATGTTGGATGTCTCCTTTCCCTAAGTTTCATTAAATGGAAAAACACAGGAAGGTATCTGGCAGCAGTGAATAATATGAGCATAATCTGAATTCTGGTAGAAGTTTCTGCAAACCCTCTGAGGAATGGATTGAAGAGAGGTACTTTGCTAAAAACCCCAAGGCTGGGTCAAAGAAGAGCAAACAAAAGCTCCACCAATCCTAATCTGGAAGGGCAGAACTGGGAGATTGTGTGCTGCAGTCCTAGAAATGAACGCGACAATGTTGGCCTGGTCCTGGGCTCCAGAATCCTACACCCAACTACCTACTAGGTTTCCTAACATGCCCAAATAGAATTCTTGATTCTCAATGCCTATCACAACCCACCCACTCGAGTTTGCTCTTCCCTTGAGTTTCTCATCTCAGTAAATGACACCACCATCCACCCTTCCTCACCCCTCAAACCATCATCAAGCCTGTTGGATCTACCTTCAAAAAAAAAACCATCCCAAACCTGCCCACTTCTCTCCCTCCCCATTGCTCCACACCACTATCATCTCTCATCTGGATGACCCCAACGCCTCTCACTGACCTCTTTGTTCCCACTCTCACCCTCCTACACTCCTCACCACTCTCCACAAAGCTGCTCAAATGATCTTTTAAAAATAAAAATCATGTCATGTCACTTTCCTGCTTGAAACTCTCAATGGCTCCAGTCTGTTCCCAAGAGCCAAATAACTGTAAAAAAACACAGATCTGCTCCCCAAAAGAAATGTCAGTATGGGAAAAAAAGAATCTGCTCCCAAAGAGAAATATCAGCATGGAAAAGAAAAAGAGGAGCCTCCTGAATCTCAGGTAGATACTTTATAACACCTTATTTCACCTTTATAACACCTCTTCACCGTAGCGAGTATTTTCTATACTTTATAGGTAAATAAGTTGAAATTTGGAGAGGTTAAGTAACTTTGTCAAAGGATATGTGACTAATTGGATGAAACCGGGATCTTTTTATATTTTTAAAATTAACATACAATAAATGTGACTTTTTAAGTGTATAGTTCTATGAATTTTGACACATGTATAGATTTGTTGTCATCACAACAACCAGGACACAGAATAATTCCATTACCCCCCAAAACTCTCACTTCCCTTTGTAGTCACACCCTCCCCACCCATAACTCCTGGAAACCATTGATGTGTTCTCTATCACAACAGCTTTCTCTTTTCAAGAATGTCATATAAATGGAATCATAGAGTACGTAACCTTTTGAGACTGACTTCTTTCATTCGGCATAACTATTTTGAGATTTATTCAAATTGTTGTGTGTATCAATAGTTCATCCCTTTTTAATTGTTGAGTTGTATTCCACTGTATGGATGTACCACAGAGTGTCTATCCATTCACCTCTTCACCTGTTGAAGGACACTTGGGTTGTTTCAAGTCTTTAATGATTATGGATAGAGCTGTCATGAACATTCACGTACATGTTTTGTGTGAACACTTCTCTAGTGTAAATACCCAGGAGTGGAATTGCTGGGGCACATGGCTGGTGTACGCTGTAATAGGGGAGCTTTCAGTGGCCTTAGGAACCAAAATACTGATATAAAGAAAAGTTTAAAAGATCAGGAGGTAGGTACAAATACAATAACAATAATTTCAAAAGGAAGAGGGAAGGGTACTGATCAATAGCAAGTAATGTCACTAAAATAGGAAAATCAATAAAATATTTAAACGGTTACTGAGTATCGAATGAGTTATGAAGAGTTACGCGTTGGTGGTGAAAGATACAAACTCAAAGAAAATAAATCTTGGAAACAATACAGAGGAGCTTCAGACCTTCAGGTTAAAGTGACTTTTATGACCATCATAATCTCTCTGCGATATTTCCATCGTCTGGGCTACTGCTTTCCCACACATCACAGTTAGACTGGTGGAAGAAACTCTAGGGCTTCTTTGTAGAATGTTACATAAACATATCTGAACTGATGTATTAGTAAGGCTGCTCTCTGGAGAAAGTAAAATGCATAAAAATTCATGCTGAAATGGTTACTGAAGTACAAGATTGGGAGGCAAAAAAGGGAAAACTTTAAATCATAAAACTCTATTTTTCCTAATGGGAAATTAAGGGTTACTGACGCTCTTAGGAAAATATTCTGACAGAAGAAATGAGCTCTCTACAAAAAGATTGTGATTATGATATTGTCTAAACTATTGAAAAACTGAAGTATAACAATTTTCCAATGACTATTCAGTGAACTATTGGGCATCCATGAAAGACTAGAATTAAGAATACGCTGGGGAAGCAAAGAAAAGGATAATTATATAACATTAAATGGAAAAAAGTTATAGAAAGTATGTGCACTATATCTACAAGGAAAACATATATGCATGTAGACAAATACAAAAGGAAACATACAAAGTAATGTGTTTTGTGGGCTAGGAAAACATGAATACAAGAAAACAAATAGGAAAACAAAGGTCTATGACAGCAACATATCAAATCCGATTTCTCTGCCTCAGCCAAATAAAGGTCATTACCTTGGCTTTCTCAGCCTTGGGGTTAGCAAGAGAAAGAAGACAATTAGGCAATATCTAAGTGATTCTTTATAATAAGGCATTATGTAAATGAGGTCAAATTAACACAAAATGTAAATGCTAGGCATTATCACCAGCAGCAAAAAGAAATGTGTATCCGCTTTCACATTTGAAGGCGTCTGACAAGGTGTCATTCCTCACCCAGCTTCTTCCTTCCAGCCAGAGCTGCAATTTTCCAATTCTTGAGGAGCTTTCACACTTCCAAGTCTTTGCAGAGGCAGTTCTCTTTACCCCAAATGCCCTCCTCACTGCTCACGTCTGCCCCGTCCCTTCCCTAAGACTCCACTCAAGGGTCCTGGTCCCATGTCAATTATATCCCAATAAAGCTAGAAAGAAAAGAAAAAGAATCCTGATTCCTAGAAGCCGACCCTGAGGACCTAGGGCAAAAGTGAGCATCTTTCCTCTGTGGTTTAGCATTATCTGAATTGATTGTAATGGTCTCTTGATAAGTCCCTCTTTCTCTACTTGGTGCACACTTTAAGACAGAGACCACATTGTTTTATCCCCAGCACACAGTAAATGCTTAATAAATATTTATGAAATGAACAAAAAAGAATCACACAATTTTCCTCCTGTCGGTTTTATTTCCTGCCTCCACTGTCCTCTGGGATGTGGCTGTGTTTTGGAAACAGAATACTGAATTAAATGGGATGTAAACACCCAATCCCAAAGTTCTGTTGTATACTTAACATTTCTGGCGAGCTGTACAAATTCATTAGTAATAAATAAATAACTAAAGTAAAATTGTTATAATTATCATTCTTGGTTGCATCTTATCAAGTTATATGAAACACTTCCTCACCAATACCGAGCAATACTTAGCAATACCAATATTGTCAAAACTAATAAGTATGCGGCTATTATTACCCCATATCCCAGATGATAATGCTGAAATGGAGCTGTGTAAGACCTTGCCCAAGGTTCATACAATTTGATATTGAATGAACCTCCAAGAGGTCGCATCACTTTCACTTCTTGAGAATACTGGTATATTGGTAACTCTGTCATAAGAAGGTTAAAAAAATTGTGATACATTTTCAATATTTAATTAAGAGCTTTAAACAAAAAAAGAATGAAATATCATCACAAGATTTATAAAATTATTATAAAATGTATTTAAAATCTATTCATTACTAGTGCAGTTTGGGAAATTCCATTAATGGAATGAATACAAGTTCAAAGTCAAACAATTGCCTTTGTAAGACACCTGTTGTTCCTTTGAACACGCTTCCTCCAAGGCAGAGCCTTCTGTGCCAAGGCAGAAGCCAGGAATGTGCCTTCCCAGCTTCCTTTGCGGCTGGGGCACAGGCACATGACCTGGGCTCCTCCAAAATGGTGCCATATGCCAGACTTTGCCAGGCAAGCTGGTGACTCAGGAAACAGATGCCCCAGTAATCCATGTTGGTGAGAGTGGAGACGGATAAATCCTGCTTTTAGGGCCAGTGACAGAAGTTTAGCAGTATGATCCAAGCCCGCTGCAGTGAAGCCATCCAGGGTACCTGTGCCCAGGAACAGCCCTGAGGCTCTCTGCTGCCCTGTGGCGGGCCTGGGGCCTTGGTCCTGGCTACATGCCTCTCAGCCTAGTCGTCTGGCCCTCCTGGAGATTCTCTGAGCCACCAGTGTCTTTAATATATTCCCCTTTGTTTGATAACCTAGAGTTGATTTCTCTTGGTTGCAGCTAAGAATCCTGCCTGATACATCTTCTTTCAATACTTGCCGTATAT